TCAAAGAACTTACCGATGAAGAGAAAAATTCAATAATAGAAAGTGCCAGGTCTGGAAATACAAACCCTAACTACAAAGTCACTTTTCATAGAAATGGAACGGCAAGTATCTCAAAAAAGAAACAGACTCTCACAAATAAAATATTGAAGTCTGAAGGAGCTTTCGAGACAACAGATGGAAAAGTTTACTTCACTGACCAACAGTTCATTATAGAACATCTCATTGACTTAGAGTCAAAATATTCTAAACTTTACAACAAACACAAAAAGTTGAAAGGAAAACAAAAACAAATGGCATATGATATTTATGAAGATGTTGACGACACAACTGTTCCTGCAGGTGAAGTAAAGTCAGAGGAACCGAAAAGTGACGAAAAACCGATAGAAGAAGAAAAACCAAAAACTGAAGATAAACCAAAACCAAAGTTTAGTTTCCAAACTAAACCAAGTCAACCTTCATTAGCTGGTATGGGTTGGCGTCAAAGACTTATGGCAGCAGGCGGTTATGTAAAGTAAAGAAAAAAATATTTTTTTTATTTTTATAAAAATGCCCCATATAGAATGGATAGAAAATCTGCTAGAATAAAAGCAGAGTTGCAAAGATATGGTTGGAGAGTTTCGAAGAATTTTAAATATAGGAAGGGAAGACCCATAAAAGTCTATGACAAATTGTCTGGTCTTCGCTACGAAATGGATTTGGAAACAGCACGTGCAAATTATCCAAACAGACTAGAGAGGTTAGAAGAAGAACGTCTTATGAACATGCCTTTCGATGTTAGTGAACCTCAAGTTGAAGGACACGACGGCTTTGCCAGATTCTACTGGAAACATGACGAACAATTGCATCCTTTGAGAAGGAAAAAAGGTAGTGCAGAGGATGGTCATGCTCCCATGGAAAGAACAAGATATGCATATGAAAAGTATCGTGAAGTTAGAAGTCAAATTACATCTGGTCGAACCTTTACAGTAAACTTTGACGAAGGAAAGAACAAAGAAGGCTTCATGGGTGTACTTGCTGCCATACAAGACGGAAATAAGAAAGGACACAATCTCAGATTGACCATAACAGATTTGGATGGTCACATTTACTATGCACATGGCAATGTCACAACAGCTGCAATGCTTCTTGACGCTTTCAAGACTACAAAGAGAGAACAAATGGTTGACTCCGACTCAGACATTTTGAATGCAATTGAAGGAATTGCAAGTGTCAAGTTCGAATGGTACCAACCTAACCCTCAAGCAGTCAGACAACATGTTTGTTAGATGAGAAATATGAAGTAAAAACGTTTTTAAAACAATATATTTTTACATATATTAAATGCTTCAGGTTGAAAAACAAAGAACAAAAGTAGCAGATACAAAACCGTTAGACTATATCTTTACAAATGCTGGTATGACTATTTCAGATGAAGAAATTTCATCCCGAGCTTACAGGTTTGACTATCCAGTTCGTTGGCTTCAAAGTCCTTCAGATGCAAAGGCAATAGGATTTAGAAGAGTTTTGTTTTCAAATAGAACTAACGCATTTATGTTCGCAGTATATTTTCATGGGCAGTATAAAGGTTCTGATGGTCTAATAGACAAATTTGACGAAATGAGAATCTTTACAGTTCGTTCAGACGAAAGTCTTGAGAAAACTCTAAATGACTTTCAAACTCAAATGAACAAATATTATTGGGAATTTCAAGAAAAATACGACTCTTTACTAAATGGAACATACTATCTGAAACTAGAATATGACAAGATGAACTCCACCGTTTCATTTCAAAGGATTGAAATTAACCTCCAAGAGATACAGAGTTTTTATTTTGGGAAGTAGACAAACGTTCTTGGGCACAATTCTTCGGTTACTAAACCAGAACGAACCATTACCACCAGATGGTCCATTTAAATTTATACTTCCACCAGCAGATTTGATGGTTTATAGAAACGTGTTTGACCCTCAAAATGTTATGTGTCATGCAAGTTTCAGTTCAAGCAACAATAGTTTTCTATGTATTGGTAAGGACTTTTATGACTTTGCTTCTAAATTCTACGAACCATCTAGTAACAGTTTCTCTGACTTTCAAGTTTGGTTCACAACAAATGGTGTGCAACATATTATTCCATTGTACTATGACTTTTATCTCGAATTGTCTTTCATATATAACTACGGAAAAGTGCTGAAAAAGTATTGAATGTGAAGATATTAGAAAATAACATTTTTTCTAACATCGTAGAAAACTCATGAAAACAATTTATTTTTAAAACAATATATTTTTTTTATTTTATTTGAAATGTACGCTGAGTTTGTTGGAGAAGACCGTTGGGAAACTTGTTTGTTAGATGAGAAATATGAAATTCACTGTTGTGAGTCATTTGAAGTCAGAAACAAAAAGACAAAAAGAGTTTTAAGCGAATGGGAGCGAAATGACGGATATGCTGATATGAAGATGGGTGGAAAACACTATCTTAAACATGTTGTCATTGCAACTCATTTTATACTGAATCCTAACAATTTACCTTTTGTAGACCATATAAACCATATAAGAAACGACAATAGACTTGAAAACTTACGTTGGGTCACTTATTCTGAAAACAATAAGAACAAAGGTAAATTTGGAGATATAGTATTCGAATTTGTCGACGAACTAGAAGATGAAACAATTGAAATTACAGACTATGGCAAGCATACGTTGGAGTTTTACTACTATAGCGAAGAACAAGACTCTTTCTACTTTTATACCGGCGTAAACTATAGGAAATTACAAGTATATTTTACTAAGGCGGGCTATGCTTATGTAAACACTATAGATACAGATGGAAAATACGTTCGAATACTTCTTAACAAATTCAAGAAGCTATATGGCATACCATTTTAAAACAATATATTTTTACATATATTAAATGCTTCAGGTTGAAAGAATATGGTGGAGCCAAAAGTGGCTCGACCTCAAAACAAGCATTTTATGAGCTTACAAAGGGTGTTATGAATGAATTCAGCAACATATATCCTGACCTCGTTCATTTTGTTGCTAAATTCAGTAAAAATATAATTTAGGTGAAGAGGTGACATCTCACCCGTTTTCTCACCTGTTTTCTCACCTCTTGAATTTTCATGAATTTTATATATTAATGTTTTGTCAAGACTTCTTCGTAAATGTTTTGTCAAACATGAACGGAAATGTTTTGTCAAGACTTCTTCGTAAATGTTTTGTCATGATTTCTTCATCGTAATGAGTGTAAATGACCCAAAAATATAATTTAGGTGAAGAGGTGACATCTCACCCGTTTTCTCACCTCTTTTCTCACCTCATGAATTTTCCCGAAATAAAAAAATAAAGTTAGTTTTATTTTTTTTTATTTTTTTATTTTGTATAAAAGATATGATTTCAACAATCGGCACAACAACAATTCAAACAACAGCACCAAACTCTTTAGTCATGAATCCTACGTCAATGTTAGTAGAGATGAAAAACTTCATTCCTTCTTCATATACTTTCGAAACAAAAATCCAGAAGATAAAGCAGGAATTGTTAACATGTAATTTAGACTGTAGTGCGAAAGATGAAGAAAATGAACAGTATCTTTATGAAATGCAGGACATTATTGACCATTTACCTAAACTACCCGAAATCCAACAACAAAAACTCACTATTCCCGAATTTGACGAAATAGAAGTCAAAGCAACTGACTCGGTAGAAATAAAGAAGTTCATACGAAAGGTAAACTATGAATTCCTTGGTTTTCATTGCAACCATAAGGTTATGGACAAAGATTGCGATATGGTATATAAGAATGTTTCTGACATATATAAATCTGAAGAATTTAAGACCTACGACAACTTTGTTTCATTAGTTGCAAAATGTGTTTGGGAAATAAGAGATAAAGATAGAAGAGGTAAGGTATGGCATGAACAGTTTAAACCAGCAGCTTTTGAGTTAAAGAAAACCATTGACGCCTTGGTTGTTTTAGCAGGTAAGGTTTCAGAATATAACGCAAAAATGAACCCGCAATGTTCTAAATGTAAAGCAGCAATGAGGAGATATAACTACTCCGTCAAAGAGATAGAAAGAATGAGAAACGACTATGCAGATTTAAAGAAAGAAGCAGAAAAGCCAGCAGAAGATAAAATGAACATGTTAGAATTTCTGAACAAAAACTATCCAACTGCAGAAGATTTCCTTCTATCTGACGTCAAGAAGAAGTATAAAGAAACTTTCGGCATTGTTAAAACATTCGATGTACTGACAGAAGAAATAGAAGCTACGAAACTGTTTAAGATTTCAAATATACATCGTACAATTCATGTAAAGCGCTTATAAAATAACAGGTGAGAAAACGGGTGAGAAAACGGGTGAGATGTCACCACTTCACCTAAACATTATTTTTATTGAATTCAGCAACAAAATTCTGAGTAAAATAATTTTTAGGGCATGTGTCAAACCGTTGAGTTTTCACAAAATTTAAAAAATAACTTGGGTGAGAAAACAGGTGAGAAAACAGGTGAGATGTCACCTCTTCACCTAAACATTATTTTTGTCTGATTTACGCTCATTACGATGAAGTCTTGACAAAACATTTACGAAGAAGTCTTGACAAAACATTTACGAAGAAGTCTTGACAAAACATTTACGATGAAATCATGAAAATTCAAGAGGTGAGAAAAGAGGTGAGAAAACAGGTGACATCTCACCTCTTCACCTAAACATTATTTTTATTGAATTCAGCAACAAAAATCATGAATTTCCTTAAGATAGAAAAAATAAAGTTAGTTTTTTATAAAATATTTTTTTTATTTTGTATGTAAAGACATATATGTCAAACATTGAGTTTGAAACAGTTAAAAAGATAGACAATGACACCAAAGTGGTTAGAATAGGTGATTTAAACGTAAGATACTCAAAGAAATACAACAAATATTCTTTGTCAGACATTATATTTCCATCTGGAAAGAAAACAAAGGACTGGGTTAGAAATGCTTCAACTCAGAAAATTTTGACAAGAAATCCTGAGCTTATGATATCGGTAAGATTCTATGGAACTACAGCATATCTTATAGACAAAAGTCTTATACCAATAGTTTTGTTATGGTTAGACCCAGTTGTTGGATATAACTTCATAACTTATGGTTCATTCGATACGGAACGTTGCAGTGAAGGCTTACTTTACATCGTTCAGAAACCGAAGGACTTCAATACAAAGAGATATAAGATAGGAAGAACATATAATATAACTCAAAGATATGACTCTACAGTCAATAGAGTCAAGGTTGTGTTCGTTAACGATATGAGAGCTGCTGAAACAGAACTACTTGAAAAGTTTGAGAAAATGTATGGTGCTCCCACGAAAGGTAAAGAAACGTTTGAAGTAGATGAGATAGATAAAGCTATAAAATTATTTGACGAAGTTGCTGAAAAATACATGTAAAGCGTTTATTTTTGGTCTTTTGTGAAAGATAGAAAAAATAAAGTTAGTTTTATTTTTATTTATTTTTTTATTTTGTATGTAAGGACAGATATGTCAACATCAGAGAACACAACAACAGTTATAGTCCATGAAGCTATAAATGAAGAATACGAGTACATACAGTTTAACAAACAACTCCGTCTCATTCGTTCGGTCAAAGACGATATGTACCAAATGCAAAGTATTTTGACAGCATGTTTTGCTCCAGATACTAAGCTTCCTAAAGACTGGTTTAGGAACCAAAGCACACAAGAACTTTTGAGCGAAGCACAGCGAGACATACTTTTTTCTGAAAACAGTGAAGAACAGCGAGTAGGTAAAAAACCCCAGTCGCCAAAACTCTATGAAATCGTGAAAAATTGCCAAATGGTTTGAGAGGATATTATGTACATAGACTTCTTGTAAATGCTGTTGCAATGTGGGCTTCGCCTCGTTATGCTTGGAATATTTACAGACTTCTTGACGAATTCATAGACAAGAACGTGAAGAGCTAGAGAACAAGCTTGAAGCAAAAGACAAAAGCATTCAGAAAAGAATACCACGGTCGGTACCAAAAGGAAAGGAAAAGAACTATAAGTATATGATTTATACTGAAGAGATGGAAAATGAAGAAGATAAAGATATGGTTATGTTGCATTTAGTCAGAAGAAACAACAAAAGCTTTTACGACCTTGCTAAGATTTACAAATCTGACAGAAATTGGTTCTATCGCGAAAACTTACCGATTTCAATGACCCCAAATGAAGATGTGAAACAAATAGTTCAAGATACTTTACCTCAAACACACTATGATATTAAAGGTTGTACAATACTTACATTCAAAGAAGATTTGTCATTGTTAAAGGAAAAAATAACAGAGTATTTTGACAACTTCAAACAAGTAGAGTAAATGAACCATTTATTTTTCAAGCTTGACTTCAGATGGCTCAAGTAGCTCAATTAGGTAAACTGCCTCGTCAAATCCTTCTGGCATTCCGAGTCCTTCCATCCGACAGAAAAAGTTCTTCCTTCCGACAGAAAAAATTTTTCCCGACGACAAGAAAAAATTTTCCCGACGACAGGAAAAAATTTTCCAGTTGTCCGTCCGTAAACCATTCAAATTTTCGAAAATTGAGAACTTTTTGGTCGAACTTCAGGAAAAGTTTTTCCTTCCAACAAAAAAAATTTTTCCTTCCGACAGGAAAAGTTTTTCCCGACAACTGGAAAAGTTCTTCCTTCCGACAGGACACAAACGAATGTCTCACGTCTCTCTTCCTGAATGTCTTCCAAAGCCAGAAGAACCGACAGCCCCAGCACCACAACAGACTTACTAAGACTAAACACTTACATTTTTCAAGCTTGACTTTTTACAATTTGAACTTTGTTCGCGTAGATATGAATTCTGAAAGAAGTATGAGGGTCTTGTATGACTTTGTACTTCTCCCATAGTTCATGTCTGTCAAACTTACCTGCCATGGACTCTTTCATAAGTTCCATGAAATCGTCTTCGGACAATCCGGGGAAAAGTATAATGTCAGTAAGTATTCTTTTAACATCCTTACTTAAACTCTTTGCTGTCTGTACACATATTACGACTGAGATGTTAAAGTGTCTGAGCTTCTTAAGAATTCGACACATGTCTTGTTCTCTGTTCTTTAACAAAGGATGAGAAGCAAAGTCATCTAAGATAAGAAGACATCTATGAGGGTATGTCTTCCAATCGTAAGATTGCAATTTCTTCGAAATGTATTCTATCTCTTTCTGTTTGTTTCTGAAGTGTTTCTTCTCTAATATTCTCTGCATTTCCTCATTTGGGTCTTTAAACTTAGAATTTATATACTCATTTATAGCATTGTACTTCAAAACTCTTCTTTGGTACTTCTTTATCCAATCTAACAACTCAGTATCTTTATACATACTAACTTAGACTTCTTTATAATATCTTTGAACGAAATTGACGGTTTGGTCAAATTGACCAGAAGTACTACAAATGACTACTAACTCATAGAATGGGTTCTTCTCATCTAGTTCTTGTTGTTGTGCAGCCATTTTAAGATAAGTGAAAGTCTTACCCGACCCAGGTGGTGCAATTAGACCTGTTATACCATTCTGAGCAAATAAGAACTTGTCATGTATAGGCTTTATCTGAGCATTTTCTAACTTCCTCTTGTTTTGTTTAAAACATTCTCAAATTTCTTGTCAATGTCAGCAAACTTTTTTTCTAACATATTTTTAGAAAAATTAAAATTTTTATCTTTTAGAAAATGTCTAGCGATTTCGCTATCTATATTCGAGACAAACTTTTTGACAGCAAAACATCTGTCGACCATAAAATCTTACATAGTGTAAACAAGAAAGGTGAATTTGTTCTAAAGTTCTGTTTCTGGGAATATGACAAGAACCATAAAACATTACAAAGAGCAGTCTTAAAATTTGTCAATGACAGACTTGTTGACAGAGATGACGCCGATTGGAAAGATGAAGTCCAACAAAAGTTCTTAGAATGCAAAGAAGACACATGCGCTGTTCTTGAAGATGAAATAGAAAACAGAATAGAAGAGCTATTAAAGGACAAAGAACTTTTACAAAAATATGGTTCTGAGAAGTTTGACATAACTCCACCAGAAAAGAAGAAGAGAGAAAAGAAAGAAAAGAAAGAAAAGAAAGTAGAAGAAGAGAAGAAAGAACCAGAGCCAGAGAAAAAGAAATTTGACATGTAAAAATAAAATTTTATTTTTAGAACATTTCTGGGTCAATGTCAATGTTCTCTTCCTCTTTAGGAGCAAACACCGGCTTAGACTCAAAAATCTTTTTTACCCAATTTACCTTGAACTTCAACTATCTTAGACTCATAATATTCATAGTCGTCTGTCTTCTTTGGTTCATAAGGTATAACAAGTTTGTATGCTTTGCCTTCTTTAAGGTTTGAGAACCTTCTGTCAAAACTTTCTTTGACTGCTAACAAACCTTCTATGTCTAAGTCTTCAAATTTCGCACCATTTTTAGTCACAATAGCAAACTTAACTGGTTCGATGTTCCAAACTTTGCTGAATGAAGACTTTTCAAAATGGTAGAAGTAAACATTCAAATAAGCGAATGGGTCTAGTTCTTCTTTAAGTCCTGACATATATTTGTTGACTGAAATATATTTCGTCATCTTTTCTATCGGATAAAAAAATATTTTTTTTAAAAACGTTTTAAAATGGTATGCCATATAGCTTCTTGAATTTGTTAAGAAGTATTCGAACGTGTTTTCCATCTGTATCTCTAGTGTTTACATAAGCATAGCCTGCCTTAGTAAAATATACTTGTAATTTTCTATAGTTTACGCCGGTATAAAAGTAGAAAGAGTCTTGTTCTTCGCTATAGTAGTAAAACTCAAACGTATGCTTACCATAGTCTGTAATTTCAATTGTTTCATCTTCTAGTTCGTCGACAAATTCGAATACTATATCTCCAAATTTGCCTTTGTTCTTATTGTTTTCAGAACGAGTAACCCAACGTAAATTTTCAAGTCTATTGTCATTTCTTATATGGTTTATATGGTCTACAAAAGGTAAATTGTTAGAGTTCGGTATAAAATGAGTTGCAATGACAACATGTTTTAAATAGTTTTTCCCACCCATCTTCATCATAGCATATCCGTCATTTCCCTCCCATCCGCTTAAAACTCTTTTTGTCTTTTTGTTTCTGACTTCAAATGACTCACAACAGTGAATTTCATATTTCTCATCTAACAAACAAGTTTCCCAACGGTCTTCTCCAACAAACTCAGCGTACATTTCAAATAAAATAAAAAAATGTTTTTTTAAAAATTTACTCAGAAAAATTTTTCTTTGTATATACGCCGTTCTGAACATCTAAAAGATTTTTGACATTTGCCAAGAATGTTCGTTTAGACGCTGTCATATAACCATATTCTTGACAATATTGTTTATACGAATCGTACAATGACCTTTCATCTAATGACACAAAGTCAGTTTCATCTATGAACAGTTCATATACACTCTTGTTTGCTTCTAACAATGTTTGTCTCTCTTCGGTATGTGGAATTTGTCTTGGATTGAACTTTGAAATATCTAATGTCATGAAATATGAGAACAAGTGGTTGTAAAAGTCAGATGTCAAAGTTTCTGCTAAGTCGTCAAAATATTCTGTATCTTGCATATGAGAATCTGACGTTCTGACAACTACATATCTTCTGTCAGAACTTTCTAACTTCATCGGAACAGCATTGTTTGAAACCATAATGAAGTTTGCAACATTTTCACAAACTCTTTGGTCTTTATATTTTCTTTCAACAACTCCAACTTTATCTGTTATAAGACTCTTCAAAGCATCTGAGTTCAAAACTTTTGTTGTATCTATACTTTGAAGTTCATTGCAAACTATAAGTTTCATATTCTCTATTGAGGAGTTAAACTTGCCACAGATGTTTTCTAAGTTTGTCATATTCGGATTCGAATAACCTTCTAACAGTTTGCACAAAATATCTGTAAAGAATGTGTTCTTACCAGTTCCTTGTTTTCCAATTATAATGAGAGCAGTTTCATTTTTAGCACTTGGATGTTGTAAGATGTTTGCAAACCAACATAAGATATACTCATAAACCTTTTCGTTTCCATTGCATATAATTTCTTTGACATGGTCTAACCAAGCTTCTATAATTTCTTTCCATTCTACTTGTTCGTATTTATATCCAGTGAAGATAGAATAGAAGTTTGGAGAAGGTGTATAGAACTTTATACCTCGAACTGAAAAATCTTCTAACTTTGACAATAAGATATCCCAAGCATCTAACATCTTCATTCCAACTTGTACAACTTTTATTTTCTTAAGTTTCTGTCTACATTCTTGTTCAGACACTATTGTTGCTCTTGGTTTGTTAAAGACAACATCCCATTCTTTCATAACATAACATTCTGGGGCAGAGTCAACATAAATGACTAAACGTTT